TAATTAGCATTGAGAAAAGTTCTCTTTAAATTAACAATATTAGAGAATCAGTAAGCAATAGAGAGCATGGTTAAATAAGTTTTACTTAAGGTACGGTAAATGTTAATGCGCTGAAGAAGACTCAAAACGAGAGTCAGAAACGTTCTTCTATTTGTGTATTTCCATTACCGTTGTTTTTATCACCTTGCGAAATCTCTTAAGATTTTTGTTTTCATCTTTCTGTATCATTTTAATGAATTATATTTTTCGATTATTTACCGTACCTTAAGTAAAACTTATTTAACCATGCTTTCTATTGCCTACTGATTCTCTAATATTATTATTTAATTGTTTCCTCTAATTATCCTGGAAGTAATCATAACATTGGCATATAAACTTGTATGTCTACACTATATTATTTGTATTCTTTTGTTCTATTTTATATCAAAATTCTAGAATGTGATATATTACTATGCAAAGGCATGAGCTAACAATGCCTGACCGTCTTTATAAATGACTACGTTAAGTGTGGCACGTTAAGAAGTGCGTCGTTGGAGAATGTGAATATATCATTTTATGGCTTAACGTATGTTTCCAAGACACATGCTATTTCTAAAATAATATTATATTATAATAAACACGTGGAAACATTATTCTTTGATGTATATTTTTCCTAAGTCTCTTTCGAAAAATTTTTTTGTTTTAAATATTCAGTTTAATTTTTTGTAAAGCAATTAAAAAACATTGGTATAATAATTATAATATCATTTTTGTAACCTAACATTTTTGTCATAAAATATTTTTCATTATGTCATAATCAATTGATCTAATATTAGATTATAAACAACATATTTTTTTTCAGTTTTTATAAATATTTGTATTTATTTTATAAGATCGCATCTTTTCTTTTAATATCTTTTTTATATATATTATTCGATGTTACACTATTATTTTAATTAAATATCTATATATATATTAATGATTCCTGTGTTTAATTCAATAATACAATGTTTATACTTCAATTGGCAATGTTGCACAATATATGTATATTTTTTTAATCAAATCGCAGTTTCCAGGACAGTCCTGGAAAATATATGTATATACATTTGAGAATTGTATGTACGTACATCTTTCATATGTATATACATAAGTTTTCCAGGACTGTCCTGGAAACTGCCATTTGACATAAAATTTTTCCAGGTCAAGCCTGGAACCCCACGAATGTCCCGCAATTTACCAATATATATCGAGAAATGTCTCGGAATAGATCATTTGACATATATATATATATATATATATATATATATATATATATATATACAGGGTGAGGCAAAAGTATGGAAACCCCTAAATTTTTTGAAAACTATGCATTTTAGAAACATGTTTCAGACAAAGGTTGTAAGGTTTCAAGTAATGCATTACGTAGCAATATCAGTGTAACTTTGAATAGCACCGTCAAGATCACATAAAAATCACTTTGAATTTTTTAAATGGAATCCCCTACTTTTTATTATATATTCTTGTAGCTTGTTTCAAGAGCTTTCCAAAACACTATAATAAAGTATTTTTTCAGTGAGTAACTTTTCAAGTTATAAGGCTCGAAATAATTTCTTAATTTTACATAAACCATAAAATATCTAGTAAACCATTCATTTTTCGATTATCTTACCTTCATACTTTTATGTACAAAATAATGAGAGGAATCAATTGGTGTAAAGAAAACACATAGTTGTTTCTAAGAAAAAATATGTAATTTGCAATTAACAATTACATATTTTTTCTTTGAAACAACTATGTGTTTTTTTTACACCAATTGATTTCTCTCATTATTTTGTACATAAAAGTATTAAAGCAAGATAATCGAAAAATGAATATTTTACTAGATATTTTACCTCATAACTCGAAAAGTACTCAATGAAGAAATACTTTATTATAGTGTTTTGGAAAGCTCTCGAGATAAGCTACACGAATATGTAATAAAAAATAGGGAGTTCCATTTAAGAAATTGAAGGTTCCCTTTACGTCATCTTCAAATGACTCTCCAAGGTCAAATCATTGCCACTATCTGATGGCCCCCTTCAAGCCATATAACTTTTATCTAAAACATTTTTTTGATTTTTCATTATTTTCCGAAATATTTGAGTGGATCACTTAAAATGGCCCACCCTGTATATATACAGAGTGTTTCAGACCACTAGTACCACGCATTTAAAAACTAGAGAAGTGGTTATTTAAAAAAAGTAAAAACATTTTCTTTATAAATCGAGTGCGCTCTATCGAATAGTGATATTTTCAACTTCTGGTTCCGGCCGGAAATAGGCGATTCAGACCGAAAGTGCATTTTTTAAATGGAACCCCCTCTTTTTCATTGTATTCTTGTAACCTTACATCCAGAGCTTTCCAAAACACTAATAAATTATTTTTCCATGAAGTGCTTTTAGAGTTATGAGACTTAAAATCATTTCTTAATTTTACATAAACCATGAAATATCTTGTAAAATATTCATTTTTCGATTATCTTACCTTTACCTAATACTTTTATGTACAAAATAATGAGCGGAATCAATTGGTGTGAAGAAAGCATACAGTTGTTTTTAAGAAAAAATATGGAATTGTTAATTCAAATTGTTTTTCAATTTCAAGTTGAAAATATCACTATTCGATAGAGTGCACCCGATTTATAAAGAAAATGTTTTTACTTTTTTTAAATAATCGCTTCTCTAGTTTTCAAATGAGTGATACGGGTGGTCTGAAACACCTTGTATACAGAGTGCGTCACCAAAATCCGGACAAATTTCAATTTAAATTTCCCTCCATATTGCGCCTCCGCCCAAAGTCACCTTGGGCGTTTGAGTAAGCTTAATGCTTCTAGTAAATAGTCACAAACTCAAAATGGCCGCAGCGTCGACACCAGGCAGAGAATATAATCGAAGAACCGCAATTATCGAAGGCCTTCGCGCTGGGCAGTCACCAACGGAAATAATTCGGTTTTTTAGATATCCGAGATCAACTGTCTATGATGTTGTGGTAAAATATCGTGCTTCAGAACAATCAAACGAAGGTTCCAGTACGCCAGCGAGGAAGAGTCACTCTAAAGAACGCACCGTGAGGATCCCTGAAGTAATCGAAAGGACTCAAGCGCTGGTTTCGGAAAATCCAGGACAATCGTTGCGAAAATTAGCATCAATTGTGGGTGTAAGCGAGCCAACAATGCGTCTGGAAGGCCATACGTTTTTCAGCAGGACGGTGCATCGGCTCACACGAGCCATTTGGTCTAAAACTGGCTCTCAGACAACATTGACATGTTTTGGTCCAGAGAATTTTGGCCTCCCAATAGTCCTGATTTAAATCCCTTGGATTATTATGTATGGAGCGTTGTTGAAAGGGTCACCAACAAGTCAAGTCATCCCAACGTGACCTCATTAAGGACTGCTATTGAAGCAGCATTCGCCGATATGGTCAGCGCTACACTGCAGCGTGCATGCGAACGTTTCAGATCGAGAATAGAGGCCGTTATTGAAGCTGATGGAGGTTATATAGAATAATTATACCCTGTAAGGACCCCCTACGTGATATGTGAAAGAATTTTCCTTAATAATTAATTTTTTCATTAATAAAATTTCGTTTAGAAAAATTGTTCGATTTGTCCGGATTTTGGTGACGCACCCTGTATATGTTAGGCACAAAGACCGAAAACGCTCACTGAACGAAAAAACCGATCACAACGCGTTCTGACTTCTCAGATTCAGCCACAACGCGAAATTTGCGTCGCGGCACTTTTCAAAACGCTCATAACGCGTTTAGGCATATTCAAAAAAGCCACAAAGCGAAATTTGTGTTGAGGTTCTTTTAATAATCGACCAAAACGCGTTCTGGCAATGTAAAAATGCCACAACGTGTTGTGGACGCTTATTGATGCAGCCATGACGCGATAAATACAATCTATCAACGGCCGACGGATTCATGCACATTCTTGTTCGTTATTTTATTTAGCGTATTGCTAGAGTGTGGACGTTGTTGGTTTGCGTGCTAATTATGTGGTAAGAAATATTACTTCAAAAAGTAAAAGAAGCTCAGTTACTTCGAAAAAATAAGCAATCGGTATCATCAAAGCAGTATCGTCGTATAAAGCGATACGACATCTTAAAACTTGGTGATACTGAAAAACTGATTGAAAGTGGTTCTGAAGGTATGGACGATTCTAAAATTCGCTATTTCTGTAAGGCAGATGAGCTATTTGATGTATTGGAGGCAGCACATCTCAACGTGGGACATAAAAGGACAAAAGGTAGTTGTATTTAAATCTTTGAAATTTGACGTTTATTGATACAGCAATAATGCAATAAAAATAAAATTATAAAGAAAAAAATTATAAAGAAAATTAACAGTTAGCCTTATTAATCCTATAGCTCTTATAATAAAATTTAAAACAATTAAGTTTCTGTGATAGAAGTTTTCATTCATCAGTATTTTTTATTAATAATAATATAAAATACTGTTTAGAGTTGCTCTCTTTGTGAGAGTTCTTTTATTAAAAACAAATTTGCCATCAATTGACAAAATCATTTACAAATAAATTTTTTTATTTGACTAAAATCTACAATACTTTTTTTCATACGTAAGTATCAAGGATTCATAAAATAAAATAATTGACGTTATTATGTTATAACAATTGCCGTTAATTCAATTAAAATAAAACAAATTGTCTTTTTGATTGTAAAAGAAAATACAGTTATCTTTATTAATACTATGGCTCTTTTAATCAAAGAATATTTTGTAATAGAAATCTTCATTAATTAGTATTTTTCTAATAATAAACATTGTTCATAATATATATTGGTCCCTTTGTGGGAATTATTAATAAATTATTTATTTTTGCAAGAACTATTACTGACATTTGGAATTGCACTTTATATTTTTAGAGAGACATTTGCATTTTTTGTCAATGCAGTATCTTTTACAGTGGCAGGTTATAAAACCTTGTTTACTTCCAGATGACAACATAGAAGCTGAAGGAAGAGTTAGTGAAGTACGTCTTGCAGTTGAATAAAGTTGCTCTCAGCAACTATAAATTCATTGCGAGCATAAAATCGCTCAAGGAGCCCTTCTTTGGTACCTAATTGATAAAGCCCTGATGAATTAATTCCGGCAACAACAGCTAAGACATTTCTGGGAGCTACGCGTCCTTTATCAACGTCAGGCACTCTGACCGCTACACTAGTTCGAATATCAACTTTAGGAAATTTTGAATTAGAAAATGAAATCATTTTTTGTGCTTGTTGTTTTTGACCAGATTTAGCACATTCTCTCTCAACGCTGATACTGTTCTTCCTTATACAGAGCTTGCAAGTAACGTTCTGTCCGAAACCCTCATTATTCTCCGCAAATAACGTAAATATATTGATGACATCCTGAACACTTGTAAGCTCCTGAAGTTTCGATTTCACAAATCACACAATAAATTTTGCTGTCATCTTTTTTCTTTTTATTTTTGTGTAACCTCTCCAGCTTGAGGTATATTTTTATCTTCACTAGATTGTTCGTTAACTTCTTCTTCATCAGTCTTATCTTGATCATTGTTCTTTACCGAAGAAAGAAGTTGTTCCAATTCTTCTTCAGTTTCTATAGAAGAATACATGTCACTGGAAAGAGAGGAATCCGCAAGTCCGATCTTTTGCGCTGATCCAAACATAGCCTCATAAGGACTTGTCTTAATTACCGAATGGAGAGCTCGATTCTTCTTACTTTGAATAAATCGGAGTCCTTCAGACCATTTTTCCGTATTATTGTCAGCCATCCACGCTACCAGTATGTCACGAATATCTTGGTTCGACCTTTCAACCGAACCCTGACTCTGAGAATGTCGCGGTTTACCATTAACAAGCTTCATTCCCGGCCAAACTTTTAATTATTTTATTTACGAATTCACGACCATTGTCGCTTTGAAGTATACATGGGGCACCGAATAAACAAAATATGTCTATGAGTTGGTAGGCCACTTCCTCGGCAGTCTTCGTCTTAAGAGGACGAAGAATTGTGAATTTGGTTAAATGATCTTGATAATTCATAATGAATCGATAATCTTTATCTGGCTCTGACTGCATGTCAATCAAGTCCACTTGACATCGAGAGTTCATGTAGTCAGATAAAATAAGTTGTACAACTAATCCATGTTTTGGTATCTTTTTCTTCAATTGACACTGTTCACACAAAGACAGAAAAAGATTTATTATTTGACGAGTAACATTACAATATTTCTTTTTTAGTTCAGCTTCCATAACTGAAACATAAATAAAAATAATGTAGAAAAATATTAGACAAACACAAATTATTAATTATTTATTTACTATGAAACTAAAAACTTTACTAACCTACCTTTACTACATACCTAACATGTCTAACTATACTTCGCGATATCAATCTTGTGCCGAAAACATCTTGGAATTCGTAATATAACGTAAATATGTATCAAATCTAGTCAAATTTCAAAAATGTACCTACCTCTTTTTCTTTTATGTCCCATGTTGAGATGTGCTGCCTCCAATACACCAAATAGCTCATCCGCCTTACAGAAATAGCGAATTTTAGAATCGTCCATGCCTTCAGAACCACTTTCAATCAGTTTTTCAGTATCACCAAGTTTTAAGATGTCGTATCGCTTTATACTCTCTAAATTTCTTAGAGTGAAAATGCACTCGAAAAATTGAGTGACTGGTCAAGTCACTCTAGTTAGAGTGATTTTTTACTCATAGGAGTGAATTCTTCTCACTTTTTGTTGTAGAGTGAAAAATTCACTCTGTAAAGTAGAGAAAATATGTATACTCTATTTTGTAGAGTGAATATTTTCACTCTATGTAGTATAGAGTGAAAATTTTTATTCGTTAAGAGTGAGTGACGCGCATGTGAACCGCGCATGCCGCACATGAGTCCGCCGTTAGCAATACTGCGTATTGTCTCGCGACATTACCACGTGCTATTATTATACGTTTCTTAAATTATCCAATTTCTTAGATTACTATTTTCAGAAATGCCAACGTATCTTCCTGAGGTAAGTGTTTATAAGAATTTATGTAGTTCATTTATCGATATGTATAAATTATATAAATTCAACATATAGCATGTCATAAAGAATGATTAATTTATAGGTTAGTTATAGGTTAATTAGATTGTATTTCTTACTAAACTAAATTATGTACAAGAAAATTATATATAAATTGAGACCTCACAGTATGTGTTTCGCCGTACATGTAGTTTTGTTACATTCGGCTTGTATATCGATAAACAAATAGCTATAATGAAAAATAATCTAATGACTTGTAGCTCGCTAAATCGACAAATATATACCACGTGCTGTGAGATCTCGATTATAGTCGTTTATTAAAATAATAATAAATAAATCCTTTGTTAGGAGACTTTAAACAGTACGGAACAATTGAAACACTTTCTCATACAGAATGGAATTTCGGAAGACGCCGTCAACATCTTAAAAGGTAAAATTTGATTCAATTTGTAAAAAAGGCAACATTTACACACATACCATTAATTCACATACATTAATTCTTAAAGCATTAAAAAGTACAATAAAAAATAAAAGTTTTCTGTATACTAAAAATATATTTTGGAAATTAAATTATATAAGGAAAAAATTTATTCTTCGAGCAATATTTACAGAGTCCAGTCTTATAATATATAATATTGTGTAAATTATTTTAGCTTTTAATGTCGTTTTATTATTATAGTAATTTAAAATAGTGCCACTTGAAAAACACACACGGATTTTAATATAAGATGTAACTATAAATATATATTATAATATTTAATTATTTATATTTAATTATAAATATATATTTATAATATTTTTTTTATTGACAATTTCATCGGTTCAATATTAAATTTAATAAATAAATAAATATTTTGGGAAATTATAATAAATATATATTGCTCACATCCACACAAAGAGATTAGAATATGATTCGTCTGAATAATTTATAATTAATATATTATACACAATTACATACTAACGTTAGACTAACGTTATATAGTTCTGACGAATTATATTCCAATCTCTTTGCGTAGATGTGAGCTATATATATTTATTAAATTAAATATTGAAATACAGCTACAGCTACAATTTTTCAGTTTGATTTGTATTTTTTTATGTACTATTTTTATATGTATTACAGATACCCGAGAATAGATTAAAGTTAAAAAGTGATTAGTTTTTGTGTACATTTACATATCTTTATTTCTGTTTGTTTTACTTTTAAATTTAATAAAAAATTTAGTTTCAATTTAATAAAAAATTTTATGATTTTTAAGGTAACTTTAAATATTATAAAAAATGACTTTATTTAAATGTTTTAAATGTAAAATGTTATTACCTACAATTAAACAATATTCTTTGCATTTCCGTCGTTATCATGCTATAATGGTTAGCAGATCTTATTCATCAGGGTTTTATTGCAATCAAGATACTTGTGATAAACATTTTTTAAGATTCGATTCTTTAATTCGCCATATTAAAAAATGGCATGTCTCTGATGAGATATGCGATTCAGATATCCATTCAATGAATTCTGATAATTCTAATATTTCCGAAAAAATCGAAATACATTCAAAAGGAAAAATACATGAATTTTGTGAAAATAAAGACAATATTAATTTTCAAGACTGTATTAATTTTCAAGAATCAAAAGAATTTGATATTTCTAAAAGTGCACAAAAATTTATAGCAAACTTGAGAATGTTATCCAATTTCACTGGTACGGCTATAACTGCTATAACTAATGCAACACAGTGTTTAGTATCAGATGTTACAGATTTTATTCGCGAGGAAATGCATAATTTTTGTAAAAAACAGAATATAAACATAGAGTCTCCTGATGTTCAGGAATTATTAAATAAATTAAATTTTGATAATTTATTTGAAAAAGTGGATACTTTACAAGCTCAAATAAAAGCAGTCAAAAATACTTATCATTATATAGATTCAGTCGAAATACCTCTTGGATTCAGACTGCAGCAATATTTTGATAGAAAAGAACAAATGTGGAGACAAAAAAAAATTTATGAAACTTTTCAGTATGTCCCAATTATAGAAACACTGAAATTAATAATGTCTCACTCATCAATGCGGAATTATGTTCGTGTTGAACAAAACAGTTCAGATAATTTACTTGTAACTTTTAGAGATGGAATAAGTTATAAACAACATCCATTTTTTCAACGTTATCCAGATGCATTAAGAATTCAACTATATTATGATGATGTAGTTGTTAATAATCCATTAGGCTCTAAAGTTCATCCTCACAAAATTGGAGCTTTTTATTTTGTAATTCAAAATTTGCCTCAATATATTAACTCTTCTTTAGGAGGCATTCATGTTCTTAGTTTGTGTCATACTGCTGACATACAAAAATATGGCATGAAAGCTATATTGAAACCATTTTTGCTGGATCTAAGTAAACTTGAAAGTGATAATGGTGTAAATATTATATATAATGGGACACATTTTATATTAAGAGCAAGTATTGCTGCAGTTTGTGCTGATGGATTGGCCGCACATCAGTTATTGGGATTTTTAAGTCCATCTGCTAAATATTTTTGTAGACTCTGCATGATCAATAGAGATGATTTCAAGAATAATAGAAATTTAAAAGAAGTTTCTTTACGTACAAAACAACTACATGACAAACAATTAAAAGAAATAAATACTCAACGAACATTAAAAGAAATTGAACATTCTAAAACAAAGTCTGGTATTTTAGAAGATAGTGCATTACATTCTTCTCGCTTTTTTCATTGTACAAACAATTTAGTCTTTGATCCTATGCACGATATTTTAGAAGGTATCGCACCAATGGAATTAAAATTGGTTTTACATCATTATAATACCTGTAACGATTATAATTTTAACATAGATTTGTTTAACAACAGAATAAACTTATTTCAATATGGTTTACCAGAAAATAAAAATAAACCTTCTGCAAATTTTTCTTCGGCTTCTATTAGATATCAAAGAGATTACAAACTTTCACAAACTGCTGTACAAACATGGTGTTTATTAAAAGTTTTTCCTTTTTTGGTTTTAGACTTAATACCTGAAAATGATATATATCTATCGTTAATTTTAATATTGAATAGAATAAACGAAATAGTATTCGCTCCAAAATTGAGACACTCTATTTTACCATATTTATCAGAATTAATCGAAGAACACAATTGTTTATTCCGAGAATTATTTCCAGCTATAAGTCCAATTAATAAGCATCATCATTTAACTCATTACCCTCAGTGTATATCTTTTTCTGGTCCTTTACGTTGGTTAAATTGTTTACGATTTGAAGCGAAACATAATGTTTTAAAAAAATATGGATCTATTGTATGTAATTTTAAAAATATTACAAAAACCTTAAGTAATTATTGTCAGTTATCTCAGTGCGCAGTTTGGGGTACTAATGAAGAACCAAAAATCAAATTAAAATATGTTAACGGATCAAAAGTTTATGTTGAAAATACTTATTGCTGGCAGCAATTATATCACATGAAATATCAGAGTAAAGACAAAATTATTAAAGTTGATAAAGCAGAGGTTTACAGTATAAAATATCGAAAAGGTTTGTTTGTTGCTCTTGACAGTGGAGTACAAAAAAATAATGAAATTACATTTGGTTGTATTCAAGAATTAATAATACTAAAAGATAATGAACTGTGGTTATGGTGTGAAGAATGGCAGTATCTTGGTTATAATGAATCATTAAATGCTTATCTTGTGCATCCTAAATTAGATTCATTTAGATTTATAAACACTGATGAGTTATGTGATCTAAAACCATTTGCATTATGGACTGATTTTAAGACTAATTTATCTTACATTGTTCTTCATCATATATTATTATAAAAATACTTTATAATTATATCTTGTATATAATCATTGTATATAATCACAAATTTTTTATTTTTTATTTTTTTATATTTATGTATATTAAAATTTTAATTCATCCATCTAAATATCTTGTACATATATACATTTGCTTTTTATTTAATCTACACACTGTAAAAAGTTAATATAAAATTATATTATAAATGATATGGGAGATATCAAAATACAAAGATATGAACATCATAAAGACATCAGAATATAGTTAGTACATGTCCGTTGTATTTAATATTACAAAATTTATAATTTTTTAAATACATTTCTTTAAGTTAAATTCTATATTTTAGATGAAGGAGTTGACGGTTACGCTTTCATGGAATTAACTGAAAATGACTTGAAAGAACTTAAAATTAAGATTGGCCCAAGGAAAAGAATATTAAATTTAATTAATGCTTGCCATAATGTGGTAAGAGCAAAGATTAATCTTATATACCTTACACACACACACACACACACACACACACACACACACACACACACACACACACACACACACACATTTAGTACAAGTTATTAATCATACATGAATATTAATCATTATTAATCATACATTCATATATGAATGAAAGTCTTCACAGGAAATTTTACTTGATGAAATAAATTTAGTGCAATTAAATACGCAGAACCAAATAATTAACAATGAAAATGTACAAAATAAA